TTCTTTTAAATGAATGACAACAAACCGCAAGAAGAAACAATTGTGAATTTCAACTTGAATCCAACAACATTAACAATTTCTGAAAAAATACATAACAACACATCAAACAAACTGAAGAAATAATTAATTAAATTTCAATTTGAATCTAACGACATTTAAACTAACAATTTCACATGAACAAACCGAAAAATTAACAAAACGACAAATACGAACAAAACAAGAATCAAACATTTATCGATTTTAGATTCGAGAATATCAAAACAAAATACAGACAAAAGTGAAACTCGAAACCACTAACCGGATCGAAACTACGAAGAACTTGGATGAAAACAAATCTGCCCAAAAACCTTGAAACCAACATAACTCGAATCTGCCCGGCAAATATCTTGGCGAGCAGGAACCAGGTTTGTTTCGAATCAAATGCTTGACGAAGCAACAATACAGCAGAAACGATGGGGTTTGGTTTAGAACCAGCTTCTCGAGGAGGCTGGATGCAGTAGGAGCAGCAGAAGCAGCTTGGTTTAGAGGAGGTCGACGAGGCAGGCTGTTTCGAGACAAAGTGAAGGTCGCCGGATTTAATGGGGGGGAGAGTTGCCGGACTGGTTTACGTGAGGTAAAACAGAAACAGTCGAGGCAGCTGGAGGCAGCAACAAAGACGACGAGGCAGGCAACATCAGGGTGTGTTTGGACGTAGCAGGAGACGCAGCAACGCAACAGCACGACGGAGCAGCAGCGAAGGACGTGAAGGTGAGGAAGAAGACGCAGTAGCGAGGGGACAACCATGGAAGCTTGAGCTCGAGATCGACGCAGCTGAAACGAAGAGGAAGAAACAACTGGCAAGGTCGTTTGGGACGAAGGCGAAGAAGAAGCAGCAGCCATGAACGACTGCTGCGTACACTATGTGTGTGAGTGTTTTGTTGTGTGTGTGTGAGAGTGTATGTGTTGATGTGTGTGTATGTGAGGGGGGTGGTCGTGGGGATGAGGGGGTAGGGCAGCAGCCATGGTTGCTTGGGGTGTTTGGGAGCCATAGTTGCTTGGGGTGTTTGGGATTTTGGAGAAGAAGAAGAGGGAGGGGCGGG